ATATATATTTATATATGTGTGTGTGTGTGTGTGTGTGTGTGTAAAACCCTAAAATCTAGACATTACAGTTTGTTTTTGTCAACCACATACAGTATAAGTGCATAAACAGAGAGAGCAAATGAGATGACATATAATACAGAAAGCTGAAGGAAAGATAGACCTGGGTCCCAGTGACTTATTTGCTTGCTGGATAAAATATACAAGTGTAACAGTGTAACATTCCTTTGGTTTGTTTTGAAGAGCACAAAATCACATTTTCCTCCCCAAACTTATAATAATGGAGGCCACTTTAGTAGAACCTTCAGACCTTGTTTATTTGTGAGCCAATGTTTATGTGTGTATGTCTACAGATGGGGCGATGGGAAAACCACACGTTGCAGTTGAAGTTTCCAGTTTGGCCACGTTATAACTCATTCGGGGACATGGACGCTGATGAGAACCACTTGAGCATTGTGACTCTAGAGGAAAGACCCTTTGTTATAGTGGATGATGTGGACATTCTTACTGGCACATGCACGCGCAACTCTGTACCTTGCCGGAAACACATTAAAGAGTGAGTTTTGTTTTATTTATTTAACTTTTGCAGCTAATACTAATTTGAATAATCTAGTTCCACAGGCATACTATCTTAACCTTTAGCATGAGAGCTTTCTTTTCCTGGGCAATACAGAAATAATTGTGCAGTCTCTAATGTGGTTATGAACTTTTGTGTTATATATTTAGAACCTATTAGATTGAGTTATCTTCAATCTTTCTCAGTATCAGCTGTTTTCTGTATTGCTGTGCCTGTATATGCTGCAGTAATATCACAGAGGGCACCTATATCAAGAAGTGCTGCAAGGGCTTTTGTATAGACATCCTGAAGAAGATTGCCAGAAATGTAAAGTTCACCTATGATCTTTACCTGGTCACAAATGGCAAACATGGAAAGAAGATCAATAATGTGTGGAACGGCATGGTGGGGGAGGTTAGTCACTTTAAATAACCTAATGAGTGAATCATCAGTTTTAATTTCAGTCACATGGATGTCAGTTTTCCCTGTCTGTCTGGCTGTCTATCTACGTATCTTTCTGTCTCTCTATCAATCTACCAATCTTTCGTACTATCGGTCTGTCTGTTTGTTTATCTACCTGTTTATCTGTATATCATTAAGTCTGTCTGTATGTTGTTCTGTCTGTCTGTCAATCATTCTATCTATCTGTTTTCGGTCTGTCTATCTATCGTTCCATCTATCTGTCCATCTGTCTGTCTGTCTATCTATCTATATGTTGGCTTTCTGTTTGTCCATCGGTCTATCAATCTATCGGTCTTTCATTCTGTCTGTCTATCTATCATTCAGCCTGTCTGTCTGTCTATCTATCTATCTATCTGTCTGTCTGTCTGTCTGTCTTGTCATGTTACTCATCGTCACAGCAATCGCTGTTTTCCTCTTTGAATTCATCAGTCCACTCGGTTTCAATAGAAACCTAGCACAGGGCAAAGGTATGATACACAACCTCAACCACACAGTCAACCTACATCTGCTTTGAAACAGCCAGAATGCAGAGTTAAAATTTTAAAATCTCAAGATTAAAGTATCTGTCAAGATAGAGTATCTGTAGATCCACAAAGCTCTTATGACTTCCTACTCACTGAGTTTCCCTCTTTCTTGTTATGCATTTCTATAGACCCTCATGGACCCTCCTTCACCATTGGAAAGGCTATCTGGCTGCTGTGGGGTCTGGTGTTCAACAACTCTGTCCCAGTACAGAACCCCAGGGGCACTACCAGTAAATTTATTGTGTCCGTTTGGGCCTTTTTCGCTGTGATCTTCCTGGCCAGCTACACTGCCAACTTGGCTGCCTTTATGATCCAAGAGGAGTTTGTGGATCAAGTCACAGGGCTCAGTGACAGAAAGGTATTTTTTGTGTATTGTGAAATATACTGAGCTGTCTACTGTCTCTCTAACTCTAACCTGTATGCATATCTATACCTGTAACTGTATGTTAGGATGGAAATAAAATACGTGACTAGATTATTCTGTCTGATATTCACACTACCATTTAAAAGACTGCATTCATTTGATCAGTAAAATATTAAAACAGTAATAATGTGAAATGTTGTTATTGTTTTCTATTTTAATATATTTTAAAATAGGACATATTTCTGTGATGGCAAAGCAGAATTTTCAGCATCATTTCTCCAGTGTTCAGTGTCGCATGATCTTTCAGAAATCATTCTAATATGCTGCTTTACTGCTCAAGGAAAATTTCTTACTATTATCAATGTTGGAAGCAGTTGTGCTTAAATATATTTTTATACACTTTTACATCAGGATTCTTTGATGAAAGTTCAAAAGAACAACATTTATTTAAAATAGAAATCCTTTGTAACATTACAAATGTCTCTAATGCTACTTTTATCAATTTCATGTGTTTTTGCTGAATATAAGTATGATTGTGTTTAAAAATATATAAATAATAATAATTAATGACCTCAAACTGTTGAATGGTAGTGTATGTAGAGAACTTTTAAGTAGTTAATGTGTGTTTTTCTTTTAATAATGTCTTATCTTGCCTAGAACTCTGCAGGGCTGGCACTTGCGCCTCCTCAAAAAATAGGTGCTTGACGTCCCGGGCAGCATTTGTGTCTTGTTGACACTGAAGTTCTAACTTAATATATACCTACATTTATAGACAGCATCTAACTTTGGCTCTGTCAGCCATCTTGGCTATCATTTGTTGCTGAGCTCAGCACAAATCCATTGTGAAATTACCTTATCTATGGATGGCACACACATTGGTGCATGCTTAAAATGCCCTGTAAAAAGTACAAATATGCAGATGGTGCTATAGGAAGCTATTTTCACATTAAAAATTACTTTTTTGTGTAACCTAATGTATTATTATAAAAAATAATTTCTCTGACTCAAATAAAAAAACACTTAATTTAGATGTTACCACATAAGGCGCATTTTCTAGGCTACCTGACAAAACATATTTTACAGTGTGCTGTCTAGTTGGCAGCTCACTAGGTTTTGAGAAAGCGTCCGTATGTCATTATAAATTTACAAGATGGAGTGTCTGAACTACACCAGTTACTAGGTTTATCTCCCCGGATATATTTCTGTATTTGAGCTTGTATTGATTCCCTCCATGTATCTCTTAAAGCTGCCCTCACTGTTCTTCATGTAATTGATGTATTTTTTTTCTCTGTTTTATAGTTTCAGAGCCCCTATTCCTATTCACCACCGTTTCGCTTCGGGACCGTGCCTAATGGGAGCACAGAGCGAAACATCAGGAAAAACTACCCAGACATGCACCAATACATGGTGAAATACCATCAGACTGGAGTTCAGGATGCACTGGTCAGCCTCAAGACAGGGTACGGCTGGGATATGCAAATTTTTTGCATTGCCAACAAGATTATTTCTGGTAGACATAATGTTAATTTTTCTCTATATATATATAAGCCACTAATTGTGCTTTTTTGGTCTGTACAGTAAACTGGATGCTTTCATATATGACGCTGCTGTGCTCAACTATATGGCGGGGCGTGATGATGGCTGTAAGCTAGTAACTATTGGCAGTGGCTACATCTTTGCCACAACAGGATAATTCTATATATCTATCTGTCTGTCTGTCTACCAATCTGTCATTCTTTTAGTCTATCATTCTACCCATGCATCCATCCATTATTGTCTTCCACTATATATATATATATATATATATATATATATATATATTTATTTATTT